CTTCTTTCCAAACAGAAAGCAGTTTTGTGGACCCATTCAATCACTGCTGCAGACAGTGACAATACACTATAGACATAGTACACTAAAGAATACTATTTCCACATTCAGTGGTATCACTTCCTCCATCTCAGTAGGCATGCATGCAGTGTACTGTTTTTAGGTTCATACTGGTTGGCAGTTGTAATTACATGGTTTACTTCAGAACTGCAGTGCACTTGTTACACATGTTAAACTGGCTGACAATTTCTGCAATGTGTGAATCAGTAAAAACTATCTTCATTCAGTGAACAACACTGACAAGACAAAATAAAAACTGCTTCTCCAATCAAACTTGTCATCATTAGCAAGAATGAAGATTGTACTATCTGGCAACAGTGGGTACTTTATTCAGAGTGCTTGATACACGGTAAATATAAGTAAGGTCCCAGCTACTCTAATATTCACTCAAAACTCAAACTTGTGTCCAAGTATCATCAGAGGCACATACCAAGTGATGTAAAGTCCATGGTTATCTAATCTAGCCATCATAAGAATGGGTGAAAGTCTGACTGCAAAATCCATCTGAACTGGTGATCAAAGCCAACTCAGGCTCCAGCTATCAACCCTCCAACACCTGCTGCAGCACTGGACAGAATGGTAATTGTGCTCAACAACCATTTCTTGCAACAAGAAATGGACATTACCTCATACAGTAACTAGTTGAACCAAAACTGAAGCAACAGTTCCTTCACTAATTCTCCTGGCATCTTCAGGAGGTCAATTTCTGCTGCAAAAGTGGTAAAACCGAATGTGCAAAGCCTTATTCTCCCATTTGGAACCATGGCACCTATACTACAACACCTTACAGTGACTACTACATAGGAGCTATAGGTCAGTACACTGGTCAAGCCTTGAGGCCATTACTTAACCTGGAGGTATTATAAAGAAGAATCTATAATTGCAGATCTAATTACTGCTGGATTCTTTTTTTGCTTTAACACCAATTCTCCTGAGATGAGATCCCCCCAAGACAAATTAGTTGCTGCATGGGATTGCTTCACAGCTTCTCTATAAATTTATTGATGACTATATTATCATGACACTTGCAATGAAATACTTTCCCATGCAACTTCCTTACATTTTCCAAGTAGGTGTTCTCATGGGAATTTCACAATTGAGTTTTGAACTCTGGTTCTCTTGGTTCTCCCTACGGCCACATTTGCAACATAACTCAGTGACAAATGTGTCCCAGTCATCAAGTTGTTCCTGAAATGATGCTCTAGGATGTGAATTCTCAACCATTCACACTCAAAATCAGACAATGTATGATCTCTCTCTCCGAGTCCATTCATTCCAGTAAAAATATATCCAATTCAAACTTAAAAATTTCTGCAGAAAAATAATGACTATGATATAAAAATCAGTTCCTATAACATTTAAATCCACCTTGAAAAACAGCATGCTCACTCTGAGCTACTAACATAGATCTAGCTTAATTTCCTTAATAAAATTCTGGGGAATGTTTCCTCACCCAAACATTTCTCAGCTGATCAAGTGCATCTACTAGATGAAGTAAAAATGAGATGTGTTTTATAGATAAAAGTTCAGAAAAAATATATTGCTTATTTCATTCTCATACACATCCTAGAAAAGATGGCTGATACAGTATATATATATATATATATATACAGTGGGAGTGACATTATCATTTATCAAAATGAAATTAGATCTGATGAAACAGGTTGTGAATGACTGCCACATCCCTACAATGCAGAGCATTTAGTGTACCATTTATAATGGTACAAAGGTCTGTGAACTCACTGTAACAGTTACCTTCTCACACTATCAGAGAGCCATCTAACAACCTGTCTCCAAACACAATGATAACCATCATGAAAGTTAAAACAGAACATTTCTCATCTATAAATAAAGATCTTAACATGTAAATATTCAACTATGTTGAGGACATCTCAGTAGCTCTGGTCATATGGCAGAGAACTGAACTCTCAGATTGTCTAGATGTAATCTTATTTTCTTATTGTTTATGGTGTGATATTAGCTTCAGCAACTTAATTGAATTACCTATGAAGTGTCACAGAACCAAAAGAAGTAATTACATTGAGCCTAATTACCAAGATGTAAGTCCAAATGATACTCCAAATCTATTAGCAACAAATCTTGGAGCTTATCTGCTTTCAAGTGTGTTAACATATTTGGTGTTAATGACATTTATGAGACATTTTCTTCCAGGAAAATTAACTTAAAACTAATTAAAACACAACAATTAATTTTAAAGATTATTAAAAAACAAAACACTAACATACATGGCTCAGAATATTTATGGGGGTTTAAGTCCCTCACAACTTACCATTTAGTAACCCAAATTAATTTAGATGTGTGGATAATACTATGGCATTGCTTATAATTTATTATTTGTTATTATATATTATACCAATGGTTTAATGATGATATTACAACTTTCTCTTCAACCTACCATAGTAAAACTAAAAATTATAATCTGTGATGTAGAAGTGAACCAAAGAAGATATTAGGCTTCTGATTATACTTTTAATTTTACCTTTGGTGAAAAGGAAAAAAAATTGTAATATCATATGTGTGCTAGTATGAAACAAATATCAAACATACCCAATGCTACAGACACATAACAACTCTGGCATTCAAATGTATATTTGTAACTTTTAAATTTGAAAATTATGCACGATCACAAGTATTCTAGATTCCTAATTTATATTATTAAGTGTGAGATATCACATTAAACTCTAAAATCTTAAATTTGTAAATATGAAGCTGAATGTGTACAAATGAACAAAATTGTGTAAGTACATACATAATTTGCCAATAAAAAGGATATTTTATACTTTATTTTAAGTAGAATTTTATAATTTCCTATTTATTAGAGCTGGATAAAATAATCTAAAATTTTAAAATAGATACTTAAAATTTATTATAATGTTTTATAAAGCCCAATTATAAAATCACAATTTACATTTCAGTACGCTTTTAAAAATGCATGAAAACTGTTCATTTTTCAAACTATCTCCTAACCTCTAGTCAGCATGTTTAAAATTGTGTAGGGAATGCTGCTTAACTTTCAAAAGCATCCAGTGAGTTAATTTCTCCACTACAAGATAAGAAGTACAAAAATCAATAGTCAAGCAATAACAGAGGGCTAGTTAAGCTTAATTTTATTATTTTATAAATTAAGCTTTGAACTGTACAATAGAGAAAAAGCTAGCTATGTTACTGAAACAAGCATTTCTCTTCACTAACTGTTAATACTGATGTTGGATTGACTAGCAACAACTAAATGTAGTAATATAAAGTGTCTGCCAAGAACAGCACCTACTATATCAAATTTAATGAAAGGTTCTTACAAAAACATGTATAAAATATTAGAGGGTAATAAAAAAAAAAAGGAAAAACTTGGACAAAGCTTACAAATGATACAATTTAATTTAAAAGTGACAGGGGAAATTTAACTTTTGTCAAAATCACTGGCATACAAAATGTAGAGCAATAGTTCACAAGATAAATGCATTATTGCGGTATTTTAGATCGAAATCTGTTTCCCTACAAATATAAGTTATGTTCTGCAAGATGAGCAGATTTATACAAGAAAACAAAACTGAAACTGAAAACTTAAACTGAGTCCTTTATATGTCAAGAATAAAAAGACTGGACAAAATTTATGAAAATACAACACAGTCTTTATTACTGACAAATAAAAGGTACCCATGCAGACAACAAAACAGTTGGCCCTACTAGGATAGTCTTTAGTTTCTTCTTCCACAAGACTGCTAATGAAACTATAAACTGTTGTCTTCCAGAACAAAGTTTTCTCTTTCCTATCACCTGGTATAATTCACTTCGACAGAATAAAAAACACGTGCTTAAACTTTTAGATAAACTCATCCTTTTTGTTCTGTTTACAATGTCACCTGGTCTTTATCTCTCCACAGAATTGGTCGGCTGTGGTCTTCAGAGACATCATCATCATCAGCCAGCAAACAGTTCTCACAAGATCCTACCTGTACTATTGCAATATCCTGCTGGCAAAGATACATCAGCTACGAGAGCATAAAGAGAGAAGAATAACTGGAATACTATAAACTTAACTCTTTTTGGACCATGTGTTACTGCCATGACAATACAGAAACCTAATAATTGGAAAATTTTACAAATTCCTATATTACAATAGAATGTAAAACTATATGATGTACCCTCATATCACATAAGATGGTAATTCATGCCTACAGAAAAGCAAGTCAAAACAAAGCCCAAACTAAGTTTTTAAAAGGCAATATGTCAGATACTGTACAAACTGACTTACAGAATGATGATTTTTGCTAATTTTAACCAAGTGAAATTCTGTTTTAAATGAAATAAAACATTTCACAACCAAAATTTTAAAATTTCTGTAGTAAAAATACAAACTTTTTACAAGAATAACAAATGAAATTCTAAAGAAAAATTCTTGTATGTTATTTAAAATGTTGACATGAACAGACGAGATTTGTGGCTGTTATTTTAACTAGACCACTAGTTAATTTATTTATACAGTTCAAAAATATTATATCTAAAATACTTGAGCACTGTTTTAACCCTTTTTTCTATATAATTCTAATAATAAATAGCAATTACAGTATTTATCACAAAAGAGACTTCATGCACACAAGTTTTTATAATTTAAAATTACATTATTTTCTGGACCATTCTGTTTAGAGGAAGTTTCTTCTGACAAAAATGTTGTAACACTCATACCATGGTTATTTTATCTGGTTCGTTCGACCATTTTCAGTTAAAAACCAAAAAAAAATTAGCTTTTGTGTGTGTGTGTGTGTGAGCATGCTGGGAAGGGAGAGGAGTAAGCACAACATTTATAATAAGCAAAGAGATATCCATAATTAAACTTTTGGAGACTTGGATCTTCTAAAATTCCAAATGTTGTGTTTTAACAGAAAAAAAATATAATAAGAAGGTAATAACAACAAATATCAAACCTTGTGTTTTGGCAAATGTCGCAGCTGTAAGGTCCATGCATGTCTTCCAAATGGTCCACGAATTAGACTTGTAACTGTAGGCTCTGGATCTGAAGACCAAAAAAAAATTTACAATGATCCTATAACAGCCTGTGCTTCAATCCATACCACTAATAATGTGTCTGTACTTGTTGAGTATTCACCTTCTACCCAACTGTAATTAACTCTTTTCATATTTATAATTAATCTAAACTTCTAACTGTCAAATATTTTATATGAGACAAAAAAGCACCAGATGGACATTTATTATTATTCCTAGTTATCATAGTGAGGTGTTGAATTACCCCAAAACTACACCACACAGTTACTAATAAACTGGTCTTTTTTTTGTTTGTTTTGTCAAATTTCATGTGAAGCTCCTAAAGAACTAACTGCATTATCTGTCCCTACATTTGACGTGACAGACTAGAGGGAAGGCAGCTAGTTAATACCATCAACCTACAACTGTTGGGCTACTTATTACTAATGAATAGTGGGATTGACCATCACATCATAATGCTCCCAGGGCTGAAATCACGAGCATGTTTAGTGTTGGGATTCAAAGATACAAGTACTTGGTACAATCATACGTGACAGTTATATTATATGACACTTATATGCACATACCATAGTTATTTTTCTAATTGTCTGAATCTTGAATATCCAAAGTGTGAAAGTTTTTTATGGATTTTTGTTTGTGGTACCATTCATTAGATGGCGCCACATTATATTTATTATTTTGGTCATATATATATATATATATATATATTGTATGTCTTTATTATATCACTCTGGAAAGTTATGGTCTATTGTTACAATTCATTATTACATACTCTCAGATGTTAATTGTAATTTTTACTAGGGTCCTATGGGTACATAATATTGAGATGGGAAATTAATTAGATTAATCAAGTACCTATCAGCATCAATTGCATTCATTAATTTTACAAGAATAGTTAACTAACTGAAATTGATGTCTGATTATTCCAAGTAACTGTAACATGACAATCATGATTTCTCATTATTATTTTTGATCCATTTAAGTTTGTTCAGCTTAATCAACTACTGTTATAAAAATAATCAACTAACCAAAATCAAGGTTTCCAATGATTCCATTGTGGCTATAACCTTATAAATGTATATACTATGAAAAGACTTATTTAGACAGCTCAATATTTATCTCTTATCTGAATTATTTTAAAACAATGAAAAACACACATTGAAACATGCACAGAACACAATTACAGCTTTGTTTCTGGTCTTCAACTGTGAGTACTCCTTGTTTTGCACACAAATTCAACCATCATGTGTAAAGATTAATACTATGTAAGTAATTAACTTTCAGGCTTCTAATGACTTCTTGTGTTGCATATTGCTATAGCAACAGAACAAGCTCAATTAATTTTGAAAAATTTTTATGTATCATTTTACAAGAATGATCATATATTATTTAAAAGAAAAGATTCCTGTTGTTTTCTTGTTAAAAATAGAGGCTCACTGAGAATAAATAGAATTCAAGTAATTGTATCACATGTACTTAAATGTTCGTTAAGAAAACACTACTCTTATCCTAGAACTACTATATATTATTATTTATGCTTAACATTTTCCATGTGATATATGTTTGTATCTGTATATCTCAACTATATTTCATATAACAGAACAAAAACAATAAATTCAAGTAAACTTATAAATAATTAGAAATATAAGATAAAAATAAAAATGTATTCCATATTTTTATAACTACAAATATTTTAACATATAAATATTTTTAATTAACTGTATTTATAGAGATCTTTCATTTTGTGATTGAAAGTGAGCCCCTCCTTCAAACAAACCCTGATTGCATGCATGCTTTGAGTAAGACTGTTTGAATAAAAAGAATTACAGCAAGTTAATATTCATTATTCTTTATTCAGTTAAACCAAACAAAATGTTGATTGTTAAATAGCATGCTCATTTAACTGTGTTTATCAAACTTAGTAGACAAGGATAAATCAAGTCTAGTTCTAGCTAAATATAAAAATACTGAAAAGAGAAAACATCTCTGGCTGTTCTCACATGCTGCTTAAACACAACCAAGTATGGTAATTTGTTTGACTTAGATTTCTCAGCACACACATGTTCTACAATTTCTTCAAGTCCGAGTTTGTACTGTAAAATGTAAATGTACTAATCATTTTAATATCTGCTCTTTCTAAATTTGTGTCTTAATAAAAAACTTTTCATTTAAAAGCTTAAGATGTTAATACTTATAGAGTTGTGAAACATTTTTAAGCTTTTCAAGCTGATGATTTAATTATAAGAAAATTCCAAAACAGTATTAATTCAAGATTGTATTTGCCTTGTAATTAATATTTCTTATAAAAACTTCAATTTCCATCTTATGAATCATTATAATCTCTGCAGAGAGATCATCTAGTATCATCACAAGTTTTCTAGATTTGTCTTCACTGCATTACTTATTGTCTCCCACATACATTGGCAAGAACGTTTACTAGTTTTACGGGATGAAATCTACAGACATTTATTTTAATGATAAATTAGATTATTTAGTAATAGTGTACTAAAGCCAGATATTCTGTAACAATGTTTACCTTTTTCTTTAACAATAATCACTTTTAATTAATAATTAATTTAATTATTAATAAATATCCCAGTTCTATGTAACAATCCTATATTCTTTTCTTACTGACTCTGACTGGTCATGCAGCATCCCTTTCAACATCCAATAAAACATGAGAATGTTATGTTATATTTTTCTTATTTATAATCAATGTCACAAATACTGCTTACTTTCATCAACAAAAAGTCAGTAGTTTTAATAGCCTTGCAAAAATTTGTAGGGAGAAAATGAAGCAACTGTAATAATTGTATTTTAAGCTTATTGAAGGTTTGTGTTATATTACACAAATGATATATAATTTTATGCATAACAGTTCAGGATTTAAAAAGTAACATAATCCTAGATTGTTTCACCTGAAGATTTTTATCATATTAAATGAAGGGTGGTTTGAAAGCATATTTAAATCAACCCAAAACAAGATGGAAATAGGAAGATTAGTCTCATTCATGTGAGAATAATCCATTAATGAGTCCAACGATTAATCAGTTAACAAATTCCACTAATTGTCTAGTTCTACTCAAGTTGGTAATTAAAGGCTATAAAATTTCTAATCAATGTATTTCTTTCAAAATCATTAAATATTTTTAGATTTCATGTGTAATAAGAAAATTCAACAAATTCAAATATTACTTTCCATAGATGATTTGTTAAATATTTTGTGCCAATTTTTTTATTTTAGATAAAAAAATGTGCACTTTTCCTCTAGAGATGGAGATAAGGGGACAAACAAATATGAACAAAATAAAAAAACAAGTATTTTAGCAACTGTTTATGCACATTCTATATTCAATTGATACAATTATAAAGAACTTTTTAACAAATATTATTGAAGATTATGCTTTTTAAAGTTTTTTCAATATCAAATCAATACCACTTTAAAAAGATTATTAAATGCTAATTAACTAAAGAAAAATAACACTTGATTTAATTATGCAACTGATACCAATTACACTCTATCTGAATTTAAATACACAGTATAAGAAACAATAAATCTTGTGAATATGGAAGCAAAACTATGATAAACTTTAATCTCAGAGCTTTTGACCTCAACTTGATACTATTTTCAAAAAGCAAATAAAGATAAATAACATATAAATGTCATAAGTATTTAACTAATCTTTTGATAACTGAACTGACTTTCTGTTCAACAAATTTTCATGTTATTTCTTAAGTAAATTGCCAATAAAAGTATTAAAAAAAGGTTAATATATTATCAACCTGAATCAGGTTTTAGAACAAAGCACTTTTGAAAACAAACACATCCAGCTAACAAGCAACCCTACAACCTGAAAGACAATGGAAGGTAGAGAGAGTAGATAAAGATTAAAATATTTTTATGACAATTTACACAAAAAAGAATAATTGTAAGACACACAAGTGTTCATAATGATTTAAAAAATAGTTTTAACAAATATGTAGTTTGAATCAATGAAACCAGAAACAGCAGGGAAGCAAATATGAACTATTCATCTCAGAGTGAACTAATGTAATAGTTTCATAGTTTGACTCTATTTATGAACAAATGTACTACATACATTACAGATTGACATAAAACGAAAATACAATAACCCCAAAGAGCACTGTCACATGGGAGGCAGACATATGAATAATTTTTTTCCACATTCACTTATATTCAAAAACACTGCAGTCACGTCCATGTTAATCAATACAGACGAAACTCAAATGTTTCATGTCTAAAGATGAGGGCTCCTTGATGTTAGATGTCAACCACAAAAGCTATTGGAATTTTTCTTGTATTGTAAGTACTGGTCATTAATTTAATAAATTATTCTTCACATTTATGTTCCACAAGTAGTAAAATATTTGTCAATGATCTCTTTCATCATCCTGTAAGAATTATTTTTAAAGAACAATAAAAATCATTAACATGAAAAATTATTATAATACAATTAAACCCATTGACTTTAAATGTACAATATAATTTTACTCTTTTTATAATAGTTAAATGTTAACAATTTCCTAAACTGAAAATGTATTTTCAATAGGTTCTTACCTCAACTCACAAAATAGCTTTCTCAATTAGTATTGCCCTATGGTGGCACAAATTTTCAATGCTTGCCACTAATCTTCCACTTCCCACATGCAACTGATTTTGCAGCAGCTCTCCACCAACAGAAGCACGACACAACCCCTATCATAACCAATGCCCTCTCCACACTTGCATTCTTTACTTTGAGACTGGTCAGAAGACCTACATCACATATCACTGGAAATGGGAAGGCTGGGTGGGAAATGTCAGTAGAGATAAGTATCTATCGGAAATACATTTTCAGCGAAGGAAAATGCTAACTTCTGATACAATATCTTACCTCTTCTCACAAAATAGCTAGAATTCCACATTGAACTGGTGGAGGGCCGGTGAAAAAATTATCTCACTTTAGAAAGTGCCCAAAGAGACACTAGGAGATGTGGAACCAAAAAAAT